ACTCTCACACACTCAATCTCACTCACTCGATCAATCTCACTCACTCGATCAATCTCACTTACTCTCACACACTCACTCACACTTACTGTCTCACTCTCACACACTCACTCACTCTTTCACTCACTTACTCTTAATCTCTTTCTCACTCACACTCACTCTCTCACTCTCTTTCACTCACTCTCTCACACACTCACCCACTCACTCTCACTCCCTCCCTCACTCTCTAATACACTCACTCTCAATCTCATTCACTCTCTCACACACTCTCAATCTCACTCACTCTCACACACCCACTCACTCTAACTCACTCACTCTCACACTCACACTCTCCCACACTACCTCATACACTCTCTCACACTCACTCACACTCACTCACACTCACTTGCACCGACTCACTCACACTCACTCACTCACACACTCTCTCACACTCACTTGATCACATTCATTCTCTCCCTCACACTCTCTCACATTCGCACTCTCCCTCACACACTCTCTCACACTCACTCTCACACACTCAATCTCACTCACTCGATCAATCTCACTCACTCTCACACACTCATTCACACTTACTGTCTCACTCTCACACACTCACTTACTCTTTCACTCACTTACTCTCACTCACGCTCACTATCTCACTCTCTTTCACTCACTCTCTCACATACTCACCCACTCACTCTCACTCACTCACTCTCTCACACACTTACACTCTCAATCTCACTCACTCTCACACACCCACTCACTCTAACTCTCTCAATCTCTCGCTCACACTCTCACAATCACACTCTCTCACACTACCTCACACTCTCTCTCACTCACACTCACTCACACTCACTCACACTCTCTCACTCACACACTCTCTTACACTCTCTGACACTCACTTTCTCACATTCACTCTCTCCCTCACACACTCGCTCACACTCGCACTCTCTCTCCATCACACACTGTCTCACATTCACACTCATTTTCATTTTTTTTCACACTCACTCTCAATAAGTTTATTTATTGTTTGAAGTCAGTAGATCCTCCTGCTCGGTCTCCTGCCTTCTGCCATCAGCCTGTCAGCCCGAGCCCACGCTCTGTGCAGTAGATCGTTATCTCACACACTGTTGGCTCTTATTGTTGCCAGGCTCAGGAGGTGCAGTCACAGTGCCTCCTAACCCCAGATATCACGTTTGATGTATTCACCCAAGTGTGAATACATCAAACGTGATGAATTCAAGTTAGGCAGTGTTTATATGAGAAAGGCTGCAGTGAGCTATTGTTCTCACCTGAACAACCTCATTAAGCTGAAGTTGTTCAGGTGACTATAGTGTCCCTTTAAGGTACCAGCATGCCCCTGAATCCACCTTCCAGTTCTGAGTCAAACTATTTTTAAGTGATTTGGCCTTCTGCATATGAAACGTTTGCATCAATAATATGATGCTTTTTTTGTTTTTTTGTTTTTTTTATAATTAGTGTTGTGTTACGTGTGCATATGGGGTATCAGAAGAAAGCTCTATCTGCCCTTTTAAAATCACACATGCGTTGCACTGATAATGCAGAGTTATAGTTTGTTTCTATTTTGCTTGCTATGTGGTTTTTTGCTCTTTTTGCCTTGATGCCATTTGATATATTCTGAGAAATAATTGTTGTGCTAGTTAGAATTTCATGTCAATATTTTGATAATTATTCTGCTTACCCTGTATGTTGACCTTTGTATGAGTGTCAGTGATTGAATTCATGAAGTTACTTGATTAATTGTCACTGGTGTTGATTTATTTCTTTCCCTTCCTCATTTCTTATTCTATACCCATTTTCATATTGCTATATATGATAAAATACAGTATATTATAAATTAAACTTCAAATTTAATAACCAATAAAAATATAAGTATACTATGTTCGGATGCATTGGGTGAAAAAGGGTTACAATACAGTGGAACAAACATAGCAAAAGTACTAAAAGGGCCTCAGTCACAAAGCTCAGAAGAACATTAAAATCATTAAACCTTCATAGCAACAACTAAGCTATTCTCAATAGCCTTCTTCATAACCTGACATAAGTGCCTTGAGTCAATCTGATTTTACTAGGTCCTACCTTCTATCATATCATTATACTATACTGAATCCATTATAGCCTTGTGTTACAATGGGGTGTTATCTAAGATGTCTTTTAGAATAAAATGCTCACTTATAGTGATGTCCCGAACGGTTCGCCGAACGGTTCGCCACGGACGGCGAACATATGCGGTAAACTTTGACCCTGTACCTCACAGTCAGCAGACACATTCCAGCCAATCAGCAGCAGACTCTCCCTCCCAGACCCTCCCACCTCCTGGACAGCATCCATTTTACATTCATCGTGAAGCTGCATTCTTAGTGAGCTGTCCAGGAGGTGGGAAGGTCTGGGAGAGAGGGTATGCTGCTGCTTGGCTGGAATGTGTCTGCTGACTGTGAGCTACAGGGTCAAAGTTTACCACATATGTTCGCCGTCCGTGGCGAACCGTTCGGCGAACCGTTCGGGAAATCACTACTCACTTATATTACCCAACTGTCTCATTAATAGAAACAAACTAATTTCTGAAGTTGTTATTTACAGGGTATCCTTACACATTTATCTTCCTCCTTCCAATACACAGCCTAAACATAAAAAAAAATCTGACACACCTATCTTGTAAGGTGCCTTACAAAAAAATAAGGCAAGTGTCAATTCTCTTCTTACTTTACTAAACAGCCCCTCCCACCTGGCCCTATATAATGCAAGAATTCTGATGCATCTACCTGACTGAAGCTGGTGTCAGAGAAAAATCCTAAAAGAGAAAAGGGTAACATAATGATCTTCCTATGTATCCTAGTCTTGGCAGCTACACTTATAGAAAAAGGTAAGCCCAGATGAATTATCATGTTCTTATTAATCAAAGGAAACCAAAGAATTAGTGTATGAGTTTGAGTAAAAAGATGTGTCAAAAGCCCCAAAAATTACTTTGCAAATAAGCAAATTCCTTTTTTCCCAAGGGCAAATGCATAATGCATACACATGTAAACTAGGCTGCCTAGATTATAGCTGCACAAAGTAAAATTCTCAATTTCTTGTATTTAAAATAGCTTATTAAAACTGGGTACATAAATTGTTATTTAGAATTCAGAATTTTCTTTAATACCTACATTATTTTTCTTGCAAAGTCAACACACTGCAAGCATGTATTCTATTTTTAAATGATCAATCAAATGTTACACACTTAAGGTTACACGTAAACTGACAGGCTCTGTTGATAGCATAATAGACAGGAAAAATACTGTGGCTGCATTTAAAATAGTGCTTTATTTTTTCTCCTCCATTATAATTTAAATTCAAAATTACTCCTGGATGAAGAATAAGTGTGTAAAATATCAGAGAACAAGGTGGTTATTCTCATCATATCTTCTCTGCCATTATCTTGTTAGAATAGAGGTGTAGCAAATTCATGAGGTGTTCGTTGGCAAGTCCTTCATCGGCAGATGTGTTGCATATGATATTTTTGTTTCAAATAATATCATAAATAACACAGCAGTTTTTTTCAGTACAGAGAGACCACTATTAAATTATGTCAATTATTTTACATACTGGTATACCTAAATAAATATGTCTGGAATTTATAAATATATCCACACAATTCACATATATATATATATATATATATATATATATATATATATATATATATATATATATATAAAAAAAGCTGAATCAATAGGTTGCACTCACGGATTCTTAAAACATAGCTTTTATTGTATACTCCTAAAAAATCGACGTTTCAGTCCTGTTCAAGGACTTTCATCAGGATTATAAAGACATAACATAACAATTCAGCCATATATAGGATGCAGTAAATTACAATAACTCACCACAGATGTCATGAAAAAAACGGCGTCCCAGCCGGGAATGTGCGCATGTGCAGAATAGTCCCTCCCCTCGGCGTGACACGCAACGCCGCCGTTACCATAGTAACGCGGCTAACATATACTATACTGAAACCGGCATCTAAGCCGGAAGTATGCCGTGATGCGGAGAAGTTCCGCCCCCCAATGTGACGTCACATATACGCCGCCGTCGTTACCATAGTGACGCGGCTGTGAATAAAAAATACAACAAACCTATATGGAAACAAACTTATCAAAGTAATGACCTAGATGTGAACACCAAGGCTTTTATAGAATGTACCAAATTTGGTAAAGACAAGTGTGAATGTGATCTATATATATTAATAGAGTGCTAATGGGTCATTTAAAGTGCAATCAGAATAATCTCTTAAAGTGCCAAGTACGTGCAAAATATTTAAAGTGCCACAGTGCTAATGTAAACATATTGTGACCCAATACAGTTTGTATGAATATTTACATTTAAATAACCCCAATGATTAGAGATTAATATTAATCAATCAAAAAAAGTATATACATATAGTTATATAAGGCTTTTTTACACAACTTTCGATCTTTTACTTTCTGCTCCTCTGTCACATAGCAAATATATATATATTATTATTTTACTGAACAATTGTTGCAACAGCACTATTGTATTCTGCGTCAAAAATTATTGAACACATTTTAAAACAATAACTCTTAATGCTTGCAAAATATACGTGGTCAATTGTGTAATAATGGGACGGTCGCAGAATAATCGTGAAAATTGCATATAGAAAAACCTAAAATACACACAAATATAAAATCACATATTAAAAGACCATTGAGGGGCATTCAGGCCAAAAATGAATGTAACAACAAGGATTCATTTAGTCCTTTTGGAGACACAGTGTCCAACTCATGGATCCAATAAGCTTCTCTATTGAGTAGCATCCTCCCCCTATCCCCCCCTCTTCTAGGGTTAGGGATGTGGTCAATGGCCACAAATTTCAATGTAGCCAATGGGTGCTTCAATTCAAGGAAGTGTTTTGCAACCGGTTTATCTGTAGAACCGTCACGATATGCCAGTCTTATAGAGGATCTGTGTCCCCTAATTCGTTCGCAGATGGCCGTCTCTGTTTTCCCAATGTAATATAAGCCACACGGACAAGACAATTTGTATATTACATGTGTCGTCTTGCAAGTGATGGTATATCGAATAGTGTATTTTCTATTATTATGTGGATGAAAAAAAGTTCTTGCAGGCATCATGTGGCTACAGGTCACACAGCCAAGACAGCGAACCGATCCTCTTATTTGTTCCTTCGCTGTATTTGAATAGCTTTGAGAGGGATCCGTACATACTAGCATGTCCTTTAGGTTTCTGTTTCTCTTGTAACAGATTAACGGTTTCTCTTTGAACACTTTCGGGAGCGTGTCATCACTCGACACTATCCTCCAATTCTTCCTAATGACCGATGCCACTTGAGGGGTAAACTGATTATATACCATAGGGAAGACAAAATTAAGAGGTTTCTTCTTTGTTTCGGTAGCGCGTGCATTCAATGCTTCTTGTAGCGCTGTTTCCAACATACATTCATCATAACCTCTTTGAAGAAATTTGTTTTTCATTTCAGAAATCTGAACTTCCCTAATTGCTACTTCCGAATTGTTCCTGATTACTCTTAGGAATTGTGCCTTTGGTAGTGAGTTCTTCAAAGCCCTGGGATGTGCACTCTGATAATGGAGGAGTGTATTCCTATCTGTGGGTTTTGTATAAAGGGAATATTGAAAATGTGTTGCTCCCAATTAAATTTCCAAATCCAAATAATGCACCTTCTCTGTGCTAATATCCGCCGTGAATCTTACTGGTGTTGGTAAAAGATTGAGGTCTTGAACCATTTAATATATATAGATCACATTCACACTTGTCTTTACCAAATTTGGTACATTCTATAAAAGCCTTGGTGTTCACATCTAGGTCATTACTTTGATAAGTTTGTTTCCATATAGGTTTGTTGTATTTTTTATTCACAGCCGCGTCACTATGGTAACGACGGCGGCGTATATGTGACGTCACATTGGGGGGCGGAACTTCTCCGCATCACGGCATACTTCCGGCTTAGATGCCGGTTTCAGTATAGTATATGTTAGCTGCGTTACTATGGTAACGGCGGCGTTGCGTGTCACGCCGAGGGGAGGGACTATTCTGCACATGCGCACATTCCCGGCTGGGACGCCGGTTTTTTCATGACATCTGTGGTGAGTTATTGTAATTTACTGCATCCTATATATGGCTGAATTGTTATGTTATGTCTTTATAATCCTGGACTGAAACGTCGATTTTTTAGGAGTATACAATAAAAGCTATGTTTTAAGAATCCGTGAGTGCAACCTATTGATTCAGCTTTTTGGATATTTGGAGCCCTGGGAGTGCACCCGGTTTGGACACATGGAGTTTGAGTGCAAGGTATAGTGCTTTTTTCTTTATATATATATATATATATATATATATATATCCACACATATACGCTTCTGCTTTCATGCACACATACACTTCACACAACCCTGCATTCAAGTACACTAATTCTATAAGCAAATACACTTTCTTACTTACACACACTAACAAATCACTTAAATTCACCTCTACATTTGCACACCTGCGCACACACATATCTGACCACCACACTGACCATCCACCAATATGCATGTCTGTATTAACATGCACAAGCATACAAGCATACACCCCTGCATACACAAAAATAAACATACATTTTCATAGATATATACATTCACATTTTGTTGTGGATAGTAATTTTTATGAACTTTTTTAGAACACTGTAAATAAATATTCAATTAATTCCATTATCCCTCATTTCATACTGTAGAAAATGAATGAGGTATTTACTAAACAGCAAATTGTGCTCAAATGGACACTCAGCAATAAAAATTATATTTTTTAAATGTAATTTATTTATGTGCTGATTTACCTGCAACTTATATTTGATATAAAAAAGTGTCATCCAGACAACAATATTCAGCGGGTTTGTTATGACATGACAAATTTCATTTCTCCATCCATTGCCATCTGTGTCTACTTTCTGGTGCCTATGCGAGGGAGGTATTCTGTTCCTATGCACCCCATGCTTCTAGAGGAACTATCTTAATATGAACAGATTTAAGATCTCATATGACCTAGACATGCCAAACTCTATTTTTTTTTGGGGGTCATATAGGTACAGGATCCTCTAAGTAAGCTTGCAACATGGTTAATCCTCCTTTGCTCTCACTGCAGGGCCTGAGGATTCTCCTAGATTGGTGCAATCTGCTCTACATGACCTCAGAGAGGGAGTTTCTCATGGAATCCAAGGATTCCTTAAGAAGCCTTCTTGTGTGGTCAAGTACTGTAGAATATGTTCATAAATGGTGTTCTACAGTATATGGCAGTAGTTATCTGCTGCTAGCTGGCTACTGGAACCTAGTTACAACTCCCTCTACTCCCTCACCGCTTGCTTTGCCTTTATTATAACATAAGTTGGATCTTTTGTAAAAAAAATCTGTGCTCCTTTCTCTATGTAGCTGTATAGTTTGTGTCCTAAATTTTCAGCATGTGGCAAAGGATGTGGTGCACTTTGAAAGTGAGGGTTATATATTCAAAAGATTTGCTGAGAGAAGAGGAAACAGAAAAATAGAGAAGTAATTACTGGAGAAGGTGGAATGACTCATTTTTGCACAGGATCTTTGAAAAGCCTTTTACAGTATCAGACTGGTGTACACCCTGGTTATATATTTTTTAAGATTTTAACCTAATTTACAAAAAAGGGGGCAATTACACATTATATTATGCAACCTGTTTAATAAACATTTTCACAAAAACAAACATATTATAGATGGACCCAAAAAGAAAGGAAGAGGAAGGAGCTTTGGTCTCTGAAAGGGTAAATTTCCAATTAGGGCATAACCATGTATAGTATTAACAATGAAAGAAATGAGAAACTATGGTTCATATCTACATAGAGACAGGAACCAAAGTAAGGAAATACCCTTTGGAGAAAATTGAAATACTAACCAGACAGAGGAAATGGTTTTTAAAGTGAATATTAAATTGTCTTGATGTAGCATTATTTCAGTTCCTGCTCCAAATGTTCCCATGCATTTTACCCCATATAGGATTAAAAATAAATAACATGCTCTTGACTATCACACAACTATAACTATTCTATTTTTATTTTGTAGGGTCCGCTGAGTGCTATGGTGAGTGTTGGCTGTTTTTTTTAAATTAGAATAACAATGTTGATGAGATGTTAAACAATGAGGGTTAAACAATGCTGTCAAATTATACTGTGTTCACTAATGCCAGTTATGTTAATTTTTAAATACATTTGATCTCTGCAGTTATACCATCTGACTCCGACCTTGTGGTGTGTAGTGACAATTCATGTGTTGGACGGTGTTACTCTAACATTGGATGTTTCTGCAGCGATCAAACACAAAAATGTCTTCCTACTAACTCTGAATGCACACCGCCTGACAACCTATGTTGCCCTGAGGGAAACTTCTGGAGCTCTGTTGACAACTGTTGCACAAGTAAGAACTGCAGAAACAAGTGTGGAAGCAGAGGCCAAAAAGTAGAATCTTTTAACTTTTCATCTTTTACCTCTTCTTTTACAGCTACTGCATTTTGCTATCCCTCCTGCCAGGCTTCTGAAATTTGTGAAAATGTCAACAATGTATCAACTTGTAACTGCAACACAACCATGTATGCGGGACTTAGTAAGTTTCTGAGCAGTAATTAAAAAAAATACTCTTGTCTCTTGCTCTATGCATATATTCTATTCAATTTTCAAAGACGTTATATAACTATAATAATATCACAAACCTCTTACTGCCTAGAAATTCACGTTATACATGTTAAAAAAGAGTATTAAACAAGGAAAGACAGTTTAATAGAATAATTTAAATCCAATTCAAATTAGGAACAAAATTTAGGATCTAGGTAGGCCTTCTGATCTTAGCTAGTAATAATTTGACTAAAATATGAATGCATCTCTAAAATCTTTAGTACAACACTGACAGAGAATGCATTGAATTACTAAAGTGAGAAATCAAAGTGAATTTCAAATTTAAAACCAGATTAGCTGAACTGAAAACATAGCTGACTAAGATAATTTTTCCAGTTAGGCTAGTTTGACCTTAAATTTGAAATTCACTTTGAATTCACTTTGAATTCTCACTTTAATAAATAACCCTGTCAGTCTTCAAACACAGTTCAATTAGCAACATATATCATCACTATATATCAATCACTTGCTTGTTGCAACTATTTAACAATAGTGATGTCGCGAACCGTTCGTGGCGAACTCCGGTCAGCTGACACATCCCTGCCAATCTCCAGCAGACCCTCCCTCCCATACCCTCCCACCTCCTGGACAGCATCCATGTTGAAGCTGCCTTCAACATGGATGCTATCCAAGAAGTAGGATGGTCTGGGAGGGAGGGTCTGCCGGAGATTGGCAGGGATGTGTCAGCTGACCGGAGTTCGTGGCGAACCGTTCGCGGCAAGTTCACGAACGGTTCGCGACATCACTATTTAACAACAAGTTGATAATGCTAATTAGTAAAAGACTTGTTTCAAACAGTTCGTAATTTGTCCAAATTTTGATCAGTTGGCTAATGCCATAGTTCCGAATCATTGTATGTATGAATCATAAATGAAGGCATGTAAGAAGTCTGGAAACACTAAGGGCAATGTGCTGACATGATTGCTGGTGAAGTGTTCCTTTCACAGTGTCCTGGTGGATTTACAATGGTACCTTTTGCACCATTTTCTTGATGTTAGTCCATTAGCAAAATCATAAATGCAAAGAGGTTATGTGTATCAGGGGAGTTGGGTAGGGATAGGAATAGGAATAATGATATTACTTTACTAACGGAACCTTGGAAAAAAACATTAAAAAATTGTTTAACAATGAGGAATAGCATGAGGGGAATACAGTCACTATAAACACTTTAATAAGATGAATTGATTACTGGGAATAGAGTATTTTCAAAGGGTACCTGCTTCACCGTCACATAATCTCATTGCAAAGGTGCATGTTATACCACCTTTTGTCCACCCTCACTTCTCTCGCGGTCTACCCTGATTTGTCCTGCTTAGGGAACCATTCCCCAAGCAGGGCAAACCTCCTCCTTGGCAAATCCCCTAGAAGCTCCAACTAGGGAGAAACATAGAATGTGACGGCAGATGAGAACCATTCGGCCCATCTAGTCTGCCCAATTTTCTAAATACTTTCATTAGTCCCTAGTCTTATCTTATAGTTAGGATAGCCTTATGCCTATCCCACGCATGCTTAAACTCCTTTACTGTGTTAACCTCTACTACTTCAGCTGGAAGGCTATTCCATGCATCCACTACCCTCTCAGTAAAGTAATACTTCCTGATATTATTTTTAAACCTTTGTCCCTCTAATTTAAGACTATGTCCTCTTGATGTGGTAGTTTTTCTTCTTTTAAATATAATCTCCTCCTTTACTGTGTTGATTCCCTTTTATATATTTAAATGTTTCTATCATATCCCCCCTGTCTCGTCTTTCCTCCAAGCTATACATGTTAAGATCCTTTAACCTTTCCTGGTAAGTTTTATCCCGCAATCCATGAACCAGTTTAGTAGCCCTTCTCTGAACCCTCTCTAAGGTATCAATATCCTTCTGAAGATACGGTCTCCAGTACTGTGTACAATACTCCAAGTGAGGTCTCACCAGTGTTCTGTACAATGGCATGAGCACTTCCCTCTTTCTACTGCTAATACCTCTCCCTATACAACCAAGCATTCTGCTAGCATTTCCTGCTGCTCTATTACATTGTCTGCCTACCTTTAAGTCATCAGAAATAATCACCCCTAAATCCCTTTCCTCATATGTTGAGGTTAGGACTCTATCAAATATTCTGTACTCTGCCCTTGGGTTTTTACGTCCAAGATGCATTATCTTGCACTTATCCACATTAAATGTCAGTTGCCACAATTCTGACCATTTTTCTAGATCATTACCTAAATCATTTGTCATTTGGCTTATCCCTCCTGGAACATCAACCCTTTTACATATCTTAGTATCATCAGCAAAAAGACATACCTTACCATCAAGACCTTCTGCAATATCACTAATAAAAATATTAAAGAGAATGGGTCCAAGTACAGATCCCTGAGGTACCCCACTGGTGACAAGTCCAAGCTTCGAATATATTCCATTAACTACAACCCTCTGTTGCCTGTCACTCAGCCACTGCCTTACCCATTCAACAATATTTGAATACAAACTTAAAGATTGCAGTTTATTGATAAGCCTATGTGCAACAGTGTCAAAAGCCTTACTGAAATCTAGGTAAGCAATGTCTACTGCACCACCCTGATCTACAATTTTAGTTACCCAATCAAAAAAATCAATAAGATTAGTTTGGCATGATCTCCCTGAAGTAAACCCATGTTGTCTCTGATCTTGAAATCCATGTGTTTTTAGATGTTCATCAATCCTATCCTTTAACATGGTTTCCATCACTTTCCCCACTACTGAAGTAAGGCTTACTGGCCTATAGTTGCCCGACTCCTCCCTATTACTTTTCTTGTAAATGGGCACAACATTCGCTAACTTCCAATCTTCTGGGACTACTCCTGTTAACAATGATTGGTTAAATAAATCTGTTAATGGTTTTGCTAGTACACCACTAAGCTCTTTTAATAGCTTTGGGTGTATTCCATCAGGTCCCATTGACTTATTTGTCTTTACTTTTGACAGTTGAAATAGAACCTCTTCCTCTGTAAACTCACGTGTAATAAATGACTCATTTATCCTTTTTCTCAACTGAGGTCCCTTTCCTTCATTTTCATCTGTAAATACAGAACAAAAATATTCATTGAGGCAGTCAGCTAGACCTTTATCCTCTTCTACATACCTTCCTTCTTTTGTTTTTAATCTAACTAATCCTTGTTTTACTTTTCTTTTCTCATTTATGTATCTAAAAAATGTTTTATCCCCCTTTTTTACTGACTGTGCTATTTTCTCTTCTGTGTGTGATTTGGAAGCTCTTATAACTTGCTTAGCCTCTTTCTGCCTAATCTTATAGATCATTTTGTCTTCCTCACTCTGGGTTTTTTTATAATTCCTAAATGCTAACTTTTTGTTTTTAACTATTTTGGCCACATCTGCGGAGTACCACAGTGGTTTCTTGAATTTTTTGCTTTTACTGACAAGCCTAATGCAATTTTCTGTTGCCTTCAATAGTGCAACTTTTAAATAATCCCATTTCTCTTGGACTCCATTTAAATTGCTCCAGTCTGATAATGACTCCTCTACCCATATTCTAATTTTAGAAAAGTCTGTTTTTCTAAAGTCTAAAACTTTTGTTTTTGTGTGGTGTGACTCAGTCACTGTTCTTATATTAAACCACACTGACTGATGATCACTGGATCCTAAACTTTCACCTACAGTAATATCTGATACCAAATCTCCATTTGTTAACACTAAATCTAGTATGGCCTCTTTACAAGTAGGCTCCTCAACAACTTGTTTTAGAGACAATCCCAGTAGGGAGTTTAGAATATGTGTGCTCCTGGCGGGCAGGGGTTCCTGTTGCCAATTTAGAAACATACAATATGACAGCAGATAAGAACCATTCGGCCCATCTAGACTGCCCAATTTTCTAAATTCTTTCATTAGTCCCTGGCCTTATATATAATAAAAAATATTCAAGAGGATGGGTCCAAGAGCAGATCACTGAGGTACCCCACTGGTAACTAGACCTTGCTTCAAATATACTCTTATATAAACTTATGGAGTAATTTATCTTGCCTGCCCCTTCTATGGGAACATAATTACCCCCTTGTGAGCGCTCAACGTTGGGACACGGCACTGCGTTTAAATCCCCACCTTATACAAGCATGCCATGAGGTAGCGCCCCTATCTTAGTTACTAATGCATCCCAGTATCTGGCTGCTGGTTCATTAGGGGTGTATCTATCTATCAAGTGTACTGTGTGGGAGTAGAGGGACCCATCAGGAAAATGTACCTTCATTATGGATCTACGTCTGATCCCGTTATTCTGATTTGGCATCTCTTATGAATAAGGATTGCCACTCCGTTACATTTATGATGGGATCTTCCTTCATAAAATGTGCAATAGGTGTGATCTTTCAATAGAAGTTTGGTGTGCATAGGAATGCTATGTCTGAACCCGATCTTTTTACCGTGCAGAACTTAAGATGATGCTTTTTAGGTGCATTCAAGCCTTTCACATTTAAGGAAGTAATTTTCAAAGCCATAACCTAAAGATTTGTGGACAACTATAGAATCCAAACATTAATACCCAGTCAGTGACTACAAGACAACACCAGTAAGTACAACCTACCATCCATAACCTCCGAACGGTAGGTCCTCTGGCCTGGACGTTATGGATGGTAGGTTGAGCGGGTCCTGCAGACCCAAACTGTGAAAAAGGGAGGTTGGATCTCCTCCAGATTGTAGGAAATGCGCTTGGCCATCCTTGAAAGCCAGCAGCTTGAAAGGGTATCCCCACGTGTACCGGACATTCGCCCACCATAGGTCATCTGTAATTGGCTTCCACTCGCATCATCTCTGCAAGATTATCAGTGCTAGATCTTGGAATAGAAAGAGGTCAAGGCTTTGATATATTATGGGGCATTCCCTGTTTTTTCTCATTAAGGCCTTTTTGGTTTGGAAATATAAAAAGCGAATTAAGATGTGCCTTGGTGTATTCAGGTCATTCCTCTGAATACGGAGGGCCCTGTGGGCTCGCTAAATATGCTATTCCAGGAGGATAGGAAGCAAAGGCTTGAAGATTGTAATGGATCACCTGGCATCCCGACTGGGTGCATCCGTTGAAGGATGCTCCTAGCGCTTACAGAGGGCTCCAAGAGATCCGCAGACACCACAACCACCACAGATCCCACAAACCGCCGCAGCTTGGTTGGGGTCTCGCCGTCTCCTACCCACCCTGGACCTACGACAAGGCTTCAAGTTCCAGTGGGTGAACCTCTCTTCCAATAGAGTGAAGCAGGAGCAAGCTCTTAAAAGAGCTTAGAAGTGATTATCCAAGGGAGCATGCAGAGCATAGCAATCCCTTGTAGTGATATAGCAATTCCCCCAATAAGAGACAGGACTCTAGATTGAGGGTGAAGAAGAACTCTGGTTTAATGACACACACTCTGCTTGTATGCAATTCTCTTATGCAAATCTCTCATGCAAGAGAGACACCCACAGACAATTATACAATACCCAATCACACAATGGTTACATATCACACATCTCCTCCCCTTAGCCTGAGAGGTAACCCAATTATCCGTACATTTTAAAACTTACTTTTTACCCAACTTTCATAACTCTAAAACCATACATCCAATATCAATAAAAGTCACATATTATTAATCAGCATATTCCAAATACAAACATAACCAAAAATCATTCGAATCCGTTCAGCCATTCGGGAGATACATATAAGTCACTTTTGACCGACCGCAAGCACATTTTCATGCCCAAAACAGTTCCATGGATTTGGGCTGTGCGGTCCAACCTTCAAACGGGACTTAGTCTCCAGCCGAAGTGTTGAAGTAGAGTGGAACGTATGGGTCAGGAACAGCAATATAAATCTCAAGTATGCTCACATCAGTTCCTAGAAGGGCAATACATCCCAGGGCCATAGTCTCAGGGCAGGAGGCTGGCAAACAGGCCCCTCCAAAAACCAGTGGCGAGGTTACTTTCGCCATGAGGATTTACATCACTACATCAGAAGGTCTTCCCCTGCCTTCCCAGGTATGCCTCACAGGTATAATTAATTGTGTCCTGCTCTATTAATCATGTCTGCTTTCGCCATTTCTGTGGTAAACATTCTAGTAGTGAGGAGGTTCACTTTGGAAACTGCAGTATTATACATGACCATTGTGGCGTTAGGTTGTTGTTCTAGCCTGATAGTCCTCACTCCAAGCGACTGGATCTCTCCTTGTAGCCCATGTGTGGAGTGTTCTATTTCTCCAGCAAGGTAAGTTTTTACTTTTGCTAGTGTGGTGAGAATCTGGGCAGTATCCGCCACTGTCTTCTCTCCCTCAATCAGGAGTATAGCACGTGTCGGGGGGGCCGAAAGACTAGGTCTGCCACCATCTTGTGAGCATATTGGCATTGCTTGAGAGGCCACAAACAGTCTACAGTCTTTGCCGACTCTGGACTCTTCTTAGAGTGCTTCTTGGAGGGTCTCTTATCCATTTTTCCAAATATTTGGCACTCAAGCATGGTATTACTGCTGTTGATAGCTTTTTGCCATGCAAGTTTTATTTTTTTTAAGATTTTTTATTTGTATTTTGTATTGTTATAACAGGATAGTACATAGGTACAAAATAAGGAGTGAGTTCAACAGGTAATTGCAAACTTATGTTAGAGCATGGTATCGACATTCAGTTGTAATTGTGGGAGAGAGTCTGGTGGTATGATGGCAGAATAGGGTTGGTGCATTGTCTGTTGAACAAGGCTCTGTTAGTGGGCGGGTAGCCCCAGTATTTGATTCCCTGCTGGTTTTGAATGTTTGCCCACTGAAAAATAAATGATCAGTCTATAATTTTAATGGTAGGTGTATTTTAACAGTGAGAGACAGAATAACAAAAAAATTCAGAAAAATGCTTGCCAAAAAAGTTATAAATTGATTTGAGTGAAATAAGTATTTGATCTCTTCGACTTTAGTACTTGGTTGCAAGACCCCTGTTGGCAATCACAGAGGTCAGACATTTCTTGTAGTTCGCCATCAGGTTTTCACATATCTCAGGAGGGATTCTGTCCCACTCCTCTTTGCAGATCCTCTCCGAGTCATTAAGGTTTCAAGGCTGATTTTTGGCAACTCGAACTTTCAGCTCTCTCCACAGATTTTCTATGGGATTAAGGTCTGGAGACTGGCTAGGCCATGTCAATGTGCTTCTTCTTGAGTCACTCCTTTGCTCCCCTGGCTGTGTGTTTTGGTTCATTGTCATGCTGGAATACCCATCCACGACCCATTTGCAATGCCCTGGCTGTAGGAAAAAGGTTCTCACCCAAGATTTGACAGTACATGGCCCGTCCATCATCCCTTTGATGTAGTGCAGTTGTCCTTTCCCTTTAGCAGAAAAACACCACCAAAGCATAATGTTTCTACCTCCATGTTTGACAGTGGGTATTGTGTTCTTGGGGGTCATAGGCAGCATTCCTCCTTCTCCATACACGGCGAGTTGAGTTGATGCCAAAGAGCTCAATTTTTGTCTCATCTGACCACAACCCAGTTCACCTCTGAATCATTCAGATGTTAACTGGCAAACCTCAGATGGGCCTGTACATGTGCTTTCTTGAGCAGGGGGACCTTGTGGGTGCTGCAGAATTTCAGGCCTTTACGGCGTAGTATATTACCAATTGTTTTCTTGGTGACTATGGTCCCAGCTGCCTTGAGATCATTAACACAATCCTCCCGTGTAGTTCTGAGCTGATTCCTCACCGTTCTCATTATCATAGAAACTCCACAAGGTGAGATCTTGCATGGAGCACCAGACCGAGGGAGACTGTCAGTTCTTTTGGGTTTCTTCCATTTGCGAATAATCGCACCAACTGTTGTCACCTTCTCACCAAGCTGCTTGGCGATGGTCTTGTAGCCCATTCCAGCCTTGTGTAGGTCTACAATCTTGTCCCTGACATCCTTAGACAGCTCTCTGGTCTTGGTCATGGGGGAGAGTTTGAAATCTGATTGATTGATTGCTTCTAAGGACAGGTGCCTTTTTTCAAAATCAGCAGGGGATCAAATACTTTTTCCCCTCACTGTAGGTGCTGTATGGGTGTATGTGTTGTTTGCAGTGCAATTTGAGTGGTGCTTCACCCAGACACGTCCTCGGTCAGGTGACACCCCCCTTACAATAGATAAATATTTACTTAGCAGTCAAATAAGCAAACTATAGTTGTAGGTGTGTCAGCTATGATAGAGACACCAATCTGAGTGTTATCAGAATACTTATGGTAATACAATTCATGCCTCCAGATGTTCCAAGACTGAATAGAGGGTGAACCACTACAAACTTCGAGTTACCCCAAAAGGAGACTCATTGCAATGTAAGGTGTCCTACCCTAGCCTGGTGTACTAGTTGTTACAGAAATACATTTATCAGTGGTGAAAAAGCACCTAAGAGCAACATGAGAGATAAAGCTGTGTTTGTCTGTGAAAAACTGCTGATTATCCACAACACATACTGAAACAGATTCTCATGAGCCTGTGTTAAAAATGTGACAAAAAACGGATAATCTTAGTTAGTTTTGAAGTTGTAAAGATACAATTTTTTTTACAACCTTCCACAAAACTTGGCTGTAGCATGGCAATAGTCCTGGTAGAAACTGTAGCATTTGTTTTAAAGCAGAACAAACTCTTATGCTGTTTAGTGGACCTCGGAGATATGGCATCGAATACATGGCACATCATTTTGCCACACCATCATTTTTACAAACCATTATAGATTCTAGTAAACAAGCCCAATCTGACTGGCCCAAACTTCTTCAGGCATAGTGAGACCATTCAGTTTGTCATGGAAAATTTATCATCAGACAAACAAGTTCATAACATGACAACAGGCTCTTTTATTACTCACTAAAATATATTTTAAAACTTTTTTTTAGTTGTGTACATATACTACACATACATCTTGACATATAACATAACAAGACAATGACAAGCAACGTTACCTAGTTTAAGTCGAGAATAAATAAAATAACTGTCAAATCCTAAAATGAAAACATTTCTGTTTTTTATTTTTTTATTTTTTATTTATTTACAGATATTTCTGCTTTGGTTCCTTCGGTACAGTGTGACTCTGATATAATTGAAGTGTCTATCAACAAGTGTCTCGTGACATCTCTTGGATTTGATTCCACAAGCTTAACTTTGAATGATGCCTCAGAAAACTGCTCATATTTATATCAAACTACAACAGACAATGTAACAGTAGTGACCTTGCAATCTAGACCAGTGACAGGGTGGTGTGGGACTGTGATGAAAGTAAGAAATATCTTCCCAGCCTTTGAAAAATAAATATATCCCTTGTGTGCATTTTATATTCATTACATTGACAGTGGCTGTACAGTGCTAGGATCTATATTATCTTGTTATTATTCCATAAGTGCCTTTTCTTTGTTTTCCAGACTGACAGCTCCAAGGTGTATTACACAAATACTCTTCACATTGGCATTCTGAATAAACCCATCATCACAACAAATCCTGTCAACATCTCTTTCACCTGCTCTTACAATCTGACTATGCAAACAAGTTTAGCTACTGCGCTCCATCCTGTGCTTAGGTGAGAATGGGCAGTTTTGCTAGAGGCCATACTTTTAATAATTTTAGCATTGGGGATTTTTCAAGTTGGTACAAATATCTCAAATGCACATTCCATTGGTGATTACTTTACATTTAACAATTCAGCACAAATGCTTTGATAAAGTGTTTTATTTGGTAAATAAACCACACAAATGGAGTCAAAGGAAAATAGAAATTGATTACTTATGCTTAATTCTAGATAAATGTAATATGCTTATGTTTTCACTTAATTGAAATTAATTTTATTCAGAAAACCAATATATATGTTTCTAGTTACTTTGTAGTGTTGTAGTGTTGTATAGTTTAGTTTTATATATATAAAATGAAAGGTTTGTTTATGACTTTCTTATTTTTTTTTTTTTTGCTCTTTTTATTGTTTTTATCACAAATAAATTTAAATACAAAAAAGCAACATGTACATTTATATACATTTGGCTTGTTTCATACCGATATCTTTTTACTTAACTGAATCGCCGAGCGTCAATATAATATCAAACTTTAACATATTGATCATTAAATACATTTAAAAGGAAAAACATTTCCGAACAGGAGCGTCTTTAATTCTGTATTTATCTTGATTATAATACTTCATTTTAATATTCATATTATTGTTATTTATTGCACAGGAATAAATTAGTATGTTTTATTTAATTCTCTCATTTCATTTTTTCAAACCACGTTTCAAAAAATGTTTGCTTCTCAGTTAAATATATAATATTTATGGACAAATCTTTTTCCATACGTATTTGATATTTTAATTGATTAAAAAATAGATTTTTTTTTAAACGGATTGCTGGATTTCCAATTTATGTCTATCAATATTGTTGAGGCCATAAGACAATATATCGCTAGGCATTTTAGATATTTTGTTGTTATGTTCCATTTAGTATGTAATAATGCCATCGCAGGTCCCCATATTAGATCTCTACTTGATAAGCTTTTAAAGTTATAGGCCTGTAACGGAACTCCCCGTACTCCGACCGAGTACCTTCCATTGATGGATGCTTCCTAGCTTGTGCCGAGGACCACAACCACCGTGGACTCCACAACTGCCATAGCTTAACTGGAGTCTCGCCGTCTTCCTTCCACCCTGGATCAGCCTCTGTCCTCCAGGACTGTGTGGGAAAGACCAGGAGAGGATATCAGGAACAGCTCTTACAAGAGTGATTAAAGCTCAGGGGAGTATGCAGAGCATAGCAATCCCCAGTGTAAATATAGCTGTCCCCTCCAATCACGAGACAAGACTACGTGTTGAGGGTCAAGAAGATCTCTTTTAATCAGCACCAAAGGGCTTTCTTTTATGCAGGTTTTACACATAAAGTACCACACACAGGGTTTTGTGAAACAGCCAATCAAGCGCATAATATACAGTAAAACACTCACATTCATTCCAGCAAAATCCTCCCCTCTGCCTGGAAAAATACAGTTTTTATACAATTCCTATAACTTTAAAAGGGATGAATTAATTTAGGTTTTAGCCTGGAGTTTTGTTTGTATCTAACTTTTCTATTTCTTTCTCCACTTCATTTGGAGTGATGTGAGTATTTAGCATTTGAGATCTATCTTTTTGGGCATTTTGGTCTTTGTTAGGTATTTGTATATGTATTTTGCTTTCTTTTGAATTTATCCTGAGATGATATAATTTGCTGTAAAATTCATTACATTTTCTACCTATTTCTTGTTCTTTATTTTTGTAATTTATTTTGTTACATTTTTACTTGCTCTATTTATTATTATTATTATTATTATTATCGCCATTTATATAGCGCCAACATATTCCATAGCGCTTTACAATATTATGAGAGGGGGGATTTAACTATAAATAGGACAATTACAAGAAAACCTACAGGAAGAATAGGTTGAAGAGGACCCTGCTCAAACGAGCTTACAGTCTATATTATATGTATATTTCCACAGTAGTAATTATTTAGATTCAATTTATTTATAATTATTTAATTTTTTTCTTCTGTTTTTAAATTTATTTTATTTAGAAGTTTGATAATTTGTTTCTTTTTTTTATTTGATGTATTTTGTTTATTTAAATTTGAAAGATTATTTATATATATATGTGATAGATCTTTGCCTTTTTAAAAAAATTTATTTTAGCCATTCTAGTTAGAACCCCCCTTGTGACAGCCTTGTCTGTACACCAGATTGTAGATTTTAAGATATCTGTGGAGGCATTTTCTTCATAAAAAAGTTTTGACATTCTGAGAAGTTCTTCTTTATTTTCATCAATTTTAATTAGAGAATCATCTAATCTCCATGTAGTAGAACCTTGTATTGGAGGTTTACCTAGTTCTATCATCACAAACCTGTGGTCTGACCAAGTATTTTCTTTAATTCTCCATTTGTCATACAATCCAAATCTTCTGCATATACTATTTAATTTTTTTGATTGCTTTATAACCCTTTTATCGGTTTTGGTATACGTTCGAGAGTTTTTAATCTATTTTATGGTCTAATACACAATTGAAATCTCCTGCTATGATTAACGAACCCTTAGATACTTATTGAATTTTTCCCATAATCTTGAAGAATGTTGACATTGGATTAATATTTGGTAAGTATACATTTATCAATGCAAATAATTTTTTTTCTATCTTACATACCACTATCAAATATCTAGCTTCTGGGTCAGTGTCTTGATATATTAGTTTTATATTTAGTTTACTTGAAAAAAATATTGCTACTCCTCTTTTTTTATTATTTTCTAATGATGCTTAAAGAATTATTGGGAATTTGTTCACTCTCCTTTTCTGTATATCAGTTAGTTTCCAATGGATTTCTTGTATAAAACCTACTTGAATATTTTCAGTATTTAAAGAATTATAAATCATACACCTTTTTACTGGAGTATTTAAACCCTGTGCATTTACTGGCATTAACATAAGCATATTACAAGATCAACCTTTTTAACCCCTTAAGGACCAAACTTCTAGAATAAAAGGGAATCATGACATGTCAAACATGTCATGTGTCCTTAAGGTGTTAAATTGATATTTGAGCTCCTGGTCTGATCACAAAAACCAACATAACAACATATAACAAACAGTGAAGATCTACTTTCTGATCTCCAATTACATTTAACACAACCGTTTTTGGAACATAGTTCCATTTTTTTTCCTATAGCATATGAAGTTTTTGGAAAACTGTGTATTATCCACACAAAGTGGGGTGAAAATATTTAGAGTGGATTAATTTGTCTAACTTACAATAAAACCAAAGTATATTTGCTTGATCCTTCTCCTATTCTCTCGTTGTACTTTTAATTGTATAGGTCATTTAATAATATGATTTGTTGCTTCCTTCTTCTTTCTTATCTTTCTTTTATTCTATCTCTAACATCCAACATAACAACATATGACAAACAATGAAGATCTACTTTCTAATCTCCAATTACATTTAACACAAAGCGTTTTTGGAACATAGTTCAATTTTTTTCCAAAGCATATGAAGCTATTTGGAAAACTGTGTAGTATTATCCACACAAAGTGGGGTGAAAATCTTTAGAGTGGATTAATTTGTCTAATTTACAATAAAAGCAAAGTATATTTGCTTGATCCTTCTCCTATTCTCTCTTTATACTTTTAATTGTATAGGTTATTTAATAATATGATTTATGTTGCTTCCTGCTTCTTTCTTATCTTTCTTTTATTCTATCTATTTCTCTCTCTTTTTTTCTCTCTTTTATGTAAAAGAAGAAGCGAGAAAGAAGAAAAAGGGGGGGGGGATTAAAAATTTATGTGCATATATATCTTATAATTATACTAAAAACTTTTATTTACTTTTACATCATTTTTTCATCTTTCTTTCTCTTTTTTCCCTTTTATACTTGACATGTAATTTGTATATTTTATTTTAGTGCATATATTTTCTCATCTGTTACAAACATATTTTATCCATTCATTATTTGTGTTTATATAATTTCTAACATAACCCTCTACTATGGAGAGGTTTTCCAATTTTTGTTAGTGTAACTCAAAAATTATTCTAGTAATTTAAAAATTGTGTTATTCTTCAGCTTGTTCCTTTTTATAACATTTTCCCTTGCTTTGAGTATTTACATGATTAATATTTAGTAAGTTTTATCAATTTAAATTTTATATTGATCTTTAGATAGATAGCTATTTCTAAAACTGTACAGTCCGATATATCTTTACCCTCTCTTTCTTCCTTTCTTCACCTATTTCCCATCACCATCACCTTATATATAAAAATAAACAGTTATTTTCCTTCTTTTCCCTTCTTTCTCTCTCTCTTCCCTGCTCCACTCCTTCCTCTATCTTTCACATTTGTTTTTCAAATAGTTTTTTTTCCTTATTTAACCATTCTTCCACTTTTTCGTTAGATTCAAAAGATTCAGCCAGGCCCCCATGGGTTATCATCAACTTAACTGGAACGCTCCATCTAAACTTTATGTTGTATTTTTTGAGGATAGATATTGCGGGTGCAAAAGTTCTTCTTTTCATTCTTGTGTTGTATGATAGATCTGTCAAAACAATTATATTTGAATATTGTCTTCTTTAATAGTTTTCTCTCTGTATGTTTTTAATATCTTTTCTTTGATTTCATAAAAGGAGAAACAGGCAATTGTATCCCTTGGAATTTCCTGTGCAATATTCTGAGGTTTATTCATCCTGTGGCATCTTTCAATCTTTTCTTCTTGACCATTTAGTGGGAGTCACAATGTGGTAAAATATTAAGTTAATGTATTTCTCAGGTTTATTTGGTCATTTTTTTTCTTCCAAATTTCTGAATCTTAAATTTGTCCTTCATTTGTCCTTAATATCTAATGCAGACATTGGTTAATATTTTGTGTTTTCATCTTTTAGTTGGTTAACTTGAAATTCCATATCCATATAGTGATCTTCCATATTCTGAATCTTTCCTTTTAATCTGATCATTTCATTTTAATTTCTTTTTTGATTTCCAAAGTATTTGAAATTATTTCTTTCTTAATTTCTTCTAAAATGTTTTGTAAGCTTGCATTTAGCAGATCTACTGCAAATGCTTCTTTTTCTTTCTCTGTGTCATTCATAGAAGTATCAGAGTTTGTAAGGGAGTCTCTATTTACTTTATTTAATTTCTCTCTTTGGTTTTGTTCTTTTTTGTCTTTGTCTTTTTTGGTTGAGATTTTTGATTCTTGTGGGGGTTTTTTTAGCCATCTTTTCTTTCTCCTTCCTTTAGGCTTTCTTCTTTCAACCTTTAATCTTATATCTCTTTATCCTTCCATTTCCATCACCCTTTTTAGCGGGGATTTCTTAATTTTGTATCTATTAGTCGTTTAGGTAATTTGTCACGATTATGAAAATCAGCTTGCATTCAAATAGTTAACAGCCAACTAAATTGATAGGGTTTGTTTTTGATTTTCCCTTCGTATCCCTTACTATATATAATTCTGTTACTGGATTTGATTATTGTTTGTCCTGTAACATGTTTAATTTACATAATTGTTGAAGGCAGAATCCTGGGAATTTTTTTTCCCTTTTCTATCTTTTTCTTTCCTTTTCCTTCTTTCTCTTTTGACTTAATTTCTACCCTTTTTTCTTTTTCTTTTTTTTCCCCTCATTTTGCTTTTTGTACAGTGGCTTAATTTGTAATAAAGAAAGAGAGCTAATTATTTTAGTTACTTATATAATTTTGAGCATTACATCCAAAAAGCAAATAAAAGGAATATTATTGCCAACATTTACTTGAATAGTGAACTCCCATCACTCTTAGGCATCCGATCCTTTGGTATCATTTGGAATTTCACCTTTATAAAATAAATGTCGACTTACAGTTTTCTGGGTGTTCTGTTTTTGTTTTGTTCCTCTTAGTTGCAGGCAGTATGTACAGTTGCTCATCTGATTCCAACTATGGGATATCCCCAGCACCTGAATTAGTTTAGTTTTTAAGTGGGAAACCCCGGCAACAAGAAATACTTTTAGACCCTTTTAAACTCTTTCAGGCTTCTGCCACCAGTTTCTTACTGACTTTCTTCCTCAGTACAATATTTAGTAAATTCTTCAAGCCACTGTTTCGTCTCCCACTTGGTTCTGCCACGCTTGTCCGACTGCATACTGCATTGCCATTATTCCGCTCCACTCCTCAGTTACACCCCTCCTCATGGGTGCGTGCGTAAGCTCGTCATCACAAATCATGCATCCTTGTTGATGACTTTCTTAATGACCTACTTACACAAAATGCAAGGATTTATTTTACCTTAAAAAGAGCATCTGTAAAAATATAGAAGACATTATTATAAGTATAATAGTAACATTAAGCATAATGTAATGCATACAAAATTGTGATCATATTTTTTCTTTTAAATAGCTCTGTCAACCTCACAGTAAATGGAGAAGGTTCAGTGCTCACAACAATGGCAGCTTATTGGGACCAGGCATATTCTGTTCCAATACAAAGTACTGACGAGGTACTAGTTGGATCACCCTTCTATTTGGGCCTGTTTTCAGAATCCACAGATGGAGATACTTTTGTACTTAGGGTTGATGATTGCTTTGGAACACCTGATGGCGATAACAATAATGTCAACAAAGTGATGCTTGTGAGTGGAGGGTATGTGTTGCCAATGTTTTCAATTTATTTATAAAGACCTGGTGACAGATATGAAGGGAATTACTTCAAAAGTTCATGAATTTTAAAAACCAAAATAAGATTACTTTAATCAGAAATTGATTATTTGTGTAGCCTATGATGTTATGCTTTGTTCCACTCCTTTTTTGTTCTTCTAAAAAGAAGTTAATCACACGAATGTGACCCTTTGTATTTGTTTAAAAACATTATATTTGTATATATTCTCAGTGCAAACATAATATTAAATATACTTCTTGTATCCCTTCGCTATCTTTCTGAAATATTTTACTGGAGACAGTAAAATATCCTGACGTGCATTTATTTTTTTAAATAATTCAAATATAAAAATTGTGTTGGCATTTTCAATTTACAGATGTCCAGCCAATCAGGGAGTTGATGTAGCTGTTGAAGAAAATGGTCAAAGTTTGCAGGCAAGAATTAAAATCAACTCATTTGCGTTTCAAAGTCAACCACTAGTATACATCACCTGTAATGTGAGATTGTGTTTCAAGAATGCAACATGCACTGGGGTAAGTAAGATTAATGCCCATGAGAGCAATGTGAATATTGTGTCTGATATGATAACCAATCACTTACCCCACTCTATAGTTTGTTCCATAAATACTCCCTAATATACAAGACACAAAATAATGCTCAAATAATGATTTTTTTTTCTTTTCAGTGTAATGTGGCTCGTAGTGCTGAAAGTGAAACGAGTCCATTAACTATCTCAGTGAACTTCTTAGGTAACTGTCCGCCTGCATCACTTTACATTCTGATTAGTATGTTATTCTGTATGCCTTGTATGCCTGCTTAGTGTTTTATTCTGTATGTTATTCTCCATGTTTGCTGCTTCATTTTGAAGTTTCTATATTGCTTTATCTAAATTTGACATTGAATATATGCATTAACAATCTAAATTTGCTTTCAGATTCTTTCAGTGACTCTGCATCCAGCACAGGTAGGTGAATCCATTAATACTCACTCTAACATGGCTATTCATTAAAGTGAGAATTCAAGATGAATTCAAAGTGAATTTCAAATTTAAGACCAGAGTCGCTGAATAGAAAGCATAGCTGACTTAGAGAATGTTGCAGTCTGACTACTTTGCTCTGAAATCTGAAATTCTTGAAATTCAATTGAAAATTCACCATAAATTCTCACTTCAGCCAATAACCCTTTAAGAGGTGCACTGCACATTTATTTGTCCTAGCAGTATGTATAAGACCCATATACACTAAAACTGTATCCATCAATGCAGTGTAGTAGATTAATCATCGTCATCCATTAATTAAGCAAGCTTTGGTCTGTCGTACTTGTTATAGGCTATATAGTATGACCCTTGTAAAAATAACAAAACTGTACCATCCTTAGGAACACAACTGATATATGGTTTCCTACATAATTCTGGAGCCCATTAGTTGGGGTAACCACCACTTCCCTATCAGAATATTCACTTAACCAATTAAAACTGGTTGCATGGAAGGTGTTCTAGCTGCCAGACTTTTTATTTGGAGTAGCTGACTTTGAAACAGTTTTGTCAGATCCCCCAAAAACAAGTAATACATAAAGATGAAATATTTATGAAATTCTCACATTGACTGTGTTGTAATTTCACTGAAATTCCAATTCATTTAAATTTATCATAAGACAAAGTAGGAACTTCTTTGTCTTATGTACTTTTACCAGGGCTGGTGCAAGAATTTGCTCCACCCACTCATGCAGACTGACATACAATGACCCAAGCAGACTGATACGTACCTGTGCAGACTAACACACACGAATTGACACATGCAGACTGACGCACACACACGAACTGGCCCGTGCAGACTGACACACACGTACTGACCAATGTAGACTTACACACACATACTGACCCATGCAGACTGACACGCACTGACCCATGTTGAGTGACGCACACGCACTGACCCATGCAGACTGCCGCACACACACACACTGACAAATGCAGACTGATGCGCACACACACTGACTCATGCAGACACACACACTCACCCATGCAGACACACACACTCGCCCATGCAGACACACACACTGACACACACTGATCCATACAGACACACACTGACCCATGTAGACATACACTGACCCCTGTAGACATACACTAACACATGAAGACACACATTGACCCATGTAGACACACACTGACCCATACAGACACAAACATACCAACACACACTGACTAATGCAGACACACATACAGAAACACACTACACTGATGCATACAGACACACACATACCGACACACTCTGACTCATGTAGACACACACATGCAGACACATACTGACCCATGCAGACGCACACATACAGACACACACTGACCCAAGCAGACTGACAGACTGAAACACAAATTCTTTGAAACACACATTGTGATTTCCCATTGACCCTCTTATCTTTATTGCATATATGACTGCTTTTCATGTGTTCTTGGCAGCTTTCCTGCGCCTGGCTGCCTCCACAGCGATGTAAGTGCTCACTAGCGCCCGGTAACATGGGCGGCATGATTTGTATAATTACTCCCTCATAGAGGGGTGGCCAACCAAGCAAAGCAGTAAAGCCACCCCCTCTTAAGCAGTGCCCTAGGCGGCTGCCTAATTGGCCTATAGTAAGCGCTGGCCATGACTTTTCCTATGCTTGATGTCAAAGTTCTGTATATGGAGGACCCTGCAGTTTTGTGGGATGCTCCATAGACATCAGTGTTGTACTCTCCCTGATGTTGACTTCTGGCAAGCAAAGCAACAAGAGATGAAGATGGTGGCGGCCATGAGGGATCTCTCCGTGCACTGCCAGCAACTTGCCATGGTGGTCTTTGAAAAATATGCAAATACCCCAGATGATGAGATCCACTACACACTGTATCGATTACTCACACTCTGCATCCACAATACACACAAACACATGCACACATAACATCCACTTTACACACACACACTGCATCCATGATACACACACTGCATCCACGATACACACACTACATCCACTTTACTCACACACTATGCATCCACTAAACTCATATATAATGCATTCACTATAAACACACACTGAATCCACTATACACACTGCATCCACTTTGCTTGTTTACACTGTGCATAAACGGTACACACACATACTGCAAACATGGTACACTACACGTAAATATATACTGCATACATTACACACACAAATACATGCGCTATACATACATATACACACTGAATTCACTATACATGCAAACTGCACTCACTATACACACAAACTGCATCCACTATACCAGGGACGTTTAGGCGCAAGGCAAACAAGGCATTTGCCTTGGGCTGCATTTTCCAAGGGGTGGCAAAAAAAGCCGCCCCCCAAATGCCCAGGGCAAATTCCATGTTAGCCTTGCGGCTAGCAGTCCAGGCAGGCGGGTGGTCGGTCGGGCGGGTGGCGCTGGCGAGGGAGCACTTTCCCCATAGCGCTCTGCTCCGCTCCCTCATGCGCCATCCACAGAGTGATGCTGGGAGCCAGAATATGGCATCACTCTGCGGGTGGCGCACGAGGGAGCTGTACACACAGCTAAGGGGAAAGTGCTCCCTCGCCAGCGCCGCCCGACCGCCCGACCACCCAGCAGCCCAGCAGCCAAGCAGCCACTGGACCCTCAGGGAATGGGAGAACCTCCCCTCCCCCAGCATTCCCAAAGGTAAGGAGGCTGGGGGGGGGGGTTAAAAAAAAAGTGAGTGTGTTAATGTGAGTGAGTGTCTGTTAGTGTGTGTCTGTTTGTGTGTGTGTGTCTGACTGTGTGTCTGTTAGTGAGTGTGTGTGTCTGTTAGTGAGTGTCTGTGTGTGTCTGTTAGTGAATGTGTGTGTGTCTGTTAGTGAATATGTGTGTGGGTCTGTTAGTGAGTGTGTGTTTGTCTGTTAGTGTGTGTGTCTGTGAGTGAGTGTGTGTGTGTGTCTGTTAGTGTGTGTGTGTCTGTTAGTGTGTGTGTTTCTGTTAGCTAGTGTATGCGTATCTGTCAGTGAATGTGTGTGTGTGTATTTAGAAGGCTCATGGGGGGAAGGGTTGGGTGTGGGTGGCGCACAGGGGGGGAGTTGTCTGAGTTTTGTCCTGCCTAGGGCAGCACAAAACCAAGATACACCACTGCACTATACACACAAACTGCATTCATTGCACACACTCTGCATCCACTATACACACACTATATCCACTTTACACACACACTGGATCCACATTACACACACTGCATCCCTTACACGCACTCATACACACAGCATCCACCATACACACAAACAGCACTCAATACACACACTATCACTAAAACACACACACACACTGCATCCCTTACACATACACTTCATCCTTGGCGGTGGATTTATTGGAGGGCCCTATAGAAAGGCTTGGGAAGGGGCCATGGGGACCCAGATTTTAGGTTATGTAAGGAGTCCCAAAATTTCAGATAGCTGCCCTTAGTGGGCAATACACAGGTTCAAGCTTTAAGCAGCCCAGATTTGAGACTTGCCTAATGCCCGCTACCTGGATCTGCTTGTTGCCATACTGTAAATAAATATATCAAAGATAACTGTCAGCAATTGTACTGACAATTCATATAAAATTCAAGCAATTTAATGTATATAGTTGCTTACACATAATATTTTATCTTTCTATAGCTTCATCCTGGACTATGCTGGCTGGTTCCCTGTTCATATTTTTGTCCATGAAATTTTTCTGAGGAGATTCTTGGAATCCTGTCTGCTGCTCCAGAGATAAATGAATACTGCCTGGGGATCAAATCATCTTCAAAAATGAATTGCTTTTTACATTGGACTATAAATGTGTATCTTTGACTTTGAGGTGTCTTTCATAGTATGTCCTCTGGATATCTTCCTCTCTAACATGGCATACAGACTATCTTACCCTGTGTTCCTGTACCATCTTTACATCTGTAACTCAAATTCAAGCAGATGTCAAAGGGTAATAATATGTGAATCTATCTATCTATGAACTGTTTTTAATTTCTCTGAATTAAATAAATATATTTATGATATATAAAGTATCAGGCCACACACACTGGTTATTGGCATTGTTGAGAACAAGGATTTTGTGTGTATGTGTGTTCCATTCCTTAATTCATTGTAGGAAAAAACTGAATTAAACGTCTGATACTTTTTTTGCGTCCCTTGAGACTAGACACTATTAAAAATACATATTTTAAATCAGCAATTAAAAAACAATGATTCATCAACTATTGAGAGTTGGATATGATCATATATTCCAATTCTAAGTAGATTTTGAGCAACAATTGAAAAAAACTAAAAATGTAATTCACTCTGCATTACAATATTTTTCAAATTTCCTTTTAAACAGCAAATGTACAGACACTCGATGAAATATACTAAAGAGAGAATGGGAAAATTACAAGAAATATGGTGACTGTAATAACCTGTATGCCATTTAGTTTTATTTATATTTTATTGCTATAGCTTATATATTTATATAGTTTACACATTTTACTTACTTTCAAGGACATCTAATCTTTTTTTTCTGTGTGTGTATATCCTGGGATGTTTGAACTATGCTATACTAATATAAGGTGATACAGTTGTAATCAAAATAATTCAACCCCCATTGAAAATCAGGTTTATTGTCCATATGTACAGACTTTTAGCTGTTTGCAATGAAGAAATCAAACAAAAGTAATTAAAATAGCTCAACACAATGAATGCTTCAAGTGGTTTCCCCATATTCAACAGAAAATGGAACTTATAATGATCTCTCCAATCTCAAAATGATTCAACCCCTTTGTAGCAGACCACGGGTAACCTGACTGGTTACCTCCACTAATTCCTTCCTTCAGCCACTCTGGAACCATTAAAGCATACATACATACATTCCCCCAGCAACCAGAAGAAATAGAGTTCTGGAAGTCAACTGATTTTATTCCGGACACACATGGCTTTTATGCACAGACCCCTACATGGGGTCAACAATATAATAAAACAGGGGTTGCAATCCCAAGATCCTCTGTGTCTGAGAGATAATTGTGTGAGAAAAATGTATAATCAAATTATCTCTCAGGTACAGGAAATCCATAATAAATATACAGTACCCCAAAAGTTTGCAGACAAGAAGTAAAATTAACTCATTTGTGTTTCAAAGTCAACCACTAGTATACATCACCTGTAACGTGAGATTGTGTTTCAAGAATGAATAACTAGGAACCCCACAAAAGTTATATTCCAAGATAGCCCTGATCTGAATGTATAACATATCCAAATATCACTCAGATCAGTTCGGTGAAACTGGAATGCCACCCGGGTAAAGTTTTGACCAGCCAGACATGAGGCAGTAGCCCAAAACAGTTCCAGGGAAATAGGTGCCTTGGCAGGTCTCTGTTCAGGGGTTCCTGTGCGAAGACTGTGCAAGGGAATCTCTTAGGTGCAGGGTACGAATGCTCCCCCTGTTCGGTAGTTCATATCTCCCGAACATCGTACATATAGGTGGTAGGGAAATAGAACGGACAGCGGTCTAATCTTCATCTGGATTCAGGCGAGTGCCTAGCTGGAAAAAGTTCCAGACACTCGATGACCAAGAGCCGCTGCCCACGTTTGGGAGACAAGATGGCTGCCATTCTTTTGTCAACCACATACATTCAGTTATACAAAATGGTGGCCACCCAGGGATAGCATTCATTAATTACTTCCCTTGTGGTTTTGCACTTAAGTTGCTGGAGTGAACGTTTTAATGGGGTACAGGGGTGGTCCTTGTTCAGGAGACGAATAGATGACGTTCGTATATAATAACTTCCCGAACAGAAAAAGGGAAAAACACACAAACAGGGGCAAAATATACAAAATTGGCGGTAGGTTTTGCCACACCCTTCATGACAAGCATCTTAAGTACTTAGTAGAATACCCTTTTGCTATTGTGACCTGCTGCAAATAAGATGCATAGCCAGACACCAGCTACTGGCAGCGTTCCTAAAGAATCTCATGAGCAATGGCCTACAGTTCAGTAATATTCTTGGCTGCAACCTCCTTCTTCAAATCACACCAGAGATTTTCTATGGGGTTCAAGTCAATTGACTGTGATGTCAAGGACTTCTTCTACAACCAAGCCTTGGTGGAATTTAAAGTATGCTTGGTAACTGTGAAGAAAATTGACTTTTGCCTGTCATTTTCTCCTTTTTATTCGGTATTTTTATGTGTTATTACTTGTATAGTGAATGGATTGGTTCGGTAGTTTGAAACTACCGAACGCCGACCACCCTCCTGGCTCATTTACTTCAAAGGAACCAGCTTTTAAGTGCTCCCTGGGCGGCCGCTGTTCGTACAACCGAACGCCAAGTGGAAAAGAAAACGGCGGCCATATGTTCGCACGAGGAGTGCCAGTGGGACTTGGTCGTCGAGTGTCTGGAACTAAAATCTGACACTCGACCTCACGAACTACTGCTGGAAACTACCGAACGCCGGCTTCTCATATTTCCCGAACAGCCAGGAAAGCCTCATTCGGTAGTTCTGTGCGAACGGACAAGGGGAGCAATCGCTACTATGGGCCAGGGGGATCCATTCGGGACTTTTGTTCATTTTCTACAGTATTGTGAATTGACTGACCGCACACGCTGAATTCGTGGAACTGTTTTGGGCAGGCGCTGCGTGTGTGGTCGGTAAAAGGGACCCTCCACACTTTTTCAGAACCCATGAACCGATCTGGGTGAAATTTGGATATGTTTGTCCCCCAGATCGGGGCTATCAGGGAATATGTAATTTGTGGGGATACCTTGTGGGTGTTCTAAGTTTTGGGGAAATTGTGTGCTCTCTGCCTGGAGATAATTGGTTTATTCCTTAACTTATCTCAATATCTCCCAGGCAGAGAGGAGGCGTGTGTGGCGAAACCGACCTCGCCACTGGGCATTGGAGAAGACTGATTGCCCGCCTCCTGCCATGTGACTATGGCCCCTGGGATGTATTGCCCTTTAAAGACATGATTTGGGCATAATGGATTTGTGTTGTGCTGCTGCTGGCCCTTTAAGAACCATCTGAGGACATACTGGGGAGTTACTGGGTGGCCACCATTTCATGTATCAGAGGCACATGGTGAGAACAATGGATGAAGCACATGGTGAGAACAATGGATGGCGGCCATTTTAACTCACAGACACTGTGTAGACTTTTCTACACGGTGCCATCTCGCCGGTATTTGGTGCACAGAGACATCGTGCAGTGGTTTTGGACTATACAACAGGGGACACATTATACAGTAATTATTTTTCATATAGCCTGTATATGTTCTGCAGAATCTGCATTAAACTGTATCTTCCAAACTACTGAACGGATCTGGGTGAATTTTGGATATGTGGTTCACCCAGATCCCCTGGTTCCGAGGATATACTTTATGGGGTTATTGCATGTTTTGGGGTCCCTGTGATATGTTTTATAATACTGTATTTCTCTGCCTGTGATAATTATATTAAACATTGTGTTCAGTAATCATATCACAGGCAGAGTGGAGGATTTTGTGTGGGAGTGTCTGTGTGTATTGTATGGATTGATTGATTGTATTTCAAAACCCTGTGGGCTGTACTATGTTTGTGGATTGTGAATAAAAGAGGCTGTATGTGCCAGTACAGTCAGGTCCTCTTGCAGGAGGATTTCTCATAAAAGCCCGTGTGTTGTCAATAAAAGTTATTCCTGTTACACCCTTCATGAAGTCTAGGCTCATGTTTGGGGGATATTCTACTTGCTGGGAAGAATCACCTTGGAACTGCATTTCATCTATCTTATTCCTCTACTCCCTGCTGCAGCTATAATCACTCATGCTCAGCTGTTGGGAGAGGGAACTAAAGACCGCAGCACCATAACCACTGCAGGTCTTAACAACTGGTGGCAAGTGACGGGATTGAATGGAACGCATAAGAACAACTGGTGAATGGCCCAGCAGTACGAGAAACAAAAAAGGAAGACACTAAAAGATCTGCTGGAAGCTCGGGGACAAATGGCCAGCAACAGAAAGAAAGCTACCCTCATGGCGGAATTAATGGAGGGCGACCAAACCAGCAGCATGGCGAATGTCAGCCAGGAGGAAGCGGAATTTCAGCAAAAGGTGATGTGGAGGCTAAACTTATATGGGCCAAATATGACGCCTGAGATGGTGACGCAAGTACTGGCACAAGTTAGCGCAGAACGCAGAGCGCAGCAGGCAAGCGTGAACCAAGGAGACAACGCTTCCCTAGCTGGATCTATAAATGGAGGGCAGCGGAGAAAGATTAACTATGCTGCTTTTAAAAGTTTCTCGGATGGAGATATGGAAATTGACGCATATCTACAGGATTTTGAATGTCAATGCGCATTGGAGGGTCTGGAATTGGAGCAATGGGCCGCGATTTTAAGCAGTAAGCTTACCGGCCGAGCAGCAGAGGCGTACCGAGCAGTTCCTGACACAGCCATACACGACTATGCCAGGGTAAAGGACATTCTGCTAGCCAGGTATGCCGTGACCCCAGAAACTTACAGGAAAAAGTTTCGGGCATTACAGAAAGGGGGCTGAGACTCCTACACCGAGTGGGCCATTAGGATGTATCGGGCAGCCCAAAACTGGATACAAGGCTGCCAGGCCACAACGCTGGAGGAGGTGCTGCAACTCCTCTTGCTGGAACAATTTTTTGACCACACTCCTGCAGATACCAGGTGTAACGGAGCTCCCTGTACTCCGACCGAGTACCCTCCGTTGATGGATGCTCCTAGCGCTTCCTGAGGACTCCAAGCGCTGCTGCAGACACCACAACCACCGCAGACTCCACAACCGCCGTATCTTGACTGGAGATTTGCCGTCTTCCTTCCACCCTGGATCAGCTTCTGTCCTCCAGGACTGTGTGGGAAAGAACCCTTCCTTCCACCCTGTATGAACCTCCAGCATCCAGGACTGTGTGGTGAAGACGCCTCCTCCAAGGAGAGCGTGTCAGGAACAAGCTCTTAAAAGAGCTAAGTGACTCAAGCTCAGGGGAGCATGCAGAGCATTGCAATCCCCAGTGTGATTATAACAGCTCCCTCCAATAACGAGACAAGGCTACGTTTAGAGGGATCAAGAAGAACTGTCAAAACCTTTATTTCCCTTGGGACCAGCCAATAGGGTCACCACAATAACATTGTTGTGAAACCTCAATAAAATCACAAACAGTCAAAACATATCAAACAACACACAGTGACTTATCACAACACAATGGCACATTTTTAAAGGGGTGGGGGGAGACAATATTTAACAGTAAATATCTCACCTGCCTGCAGAATTAGCAATATGCAAATCTACCCGAATATGCAAATGAACCAGTCTTGCAATTCAGGTAGTGCATATTGCTGTTGCTACCAACAGAGGGCACTAGACAAGCTCCATAGCCAAACCCACCTAGTTGGTAGCAAACCTCAGCAGTACAGGAGAGCAGGCAATACATTTCACAGTACACACACACACTATAAACAATTGCATTACACACACCCTGCACCTATAATGGGTACAGGGTGACTAAAACATAAGATAAATAAAGCAGCCTACATAAATAGTCTGTCTGAAGGTAGAATAGGGGCTTTAAAGCCAAATACATGAAAGAGTCATAGTCACAGGGGAGGAGGCTGACTAACCAGGCACCTGACTTTCTGTCGGTCAGTGCCTAAGTTAGTCGATTCACCCACCGACCATAAGCAAGTGCCAGAGTAGCCCACCCACAACAAACAGTTATTAGAGCAACCCACCCACAGCAAACAGTGACTGCACCTGGGTATTCCTCTGGGGTGATGGGGCAACACGCTGTGGGGACTTGAGGGGCAGAGGCCAGCGGCGCTCTGCCCTGATACCAGCGCTTCTGCTGGGAGGAGGGGGGTGCAGGCCAGTCCTGTGACAAGGGGATCGGTAGGGCAGAGGCCAGGGGCGGTCTGCCCTTATGCCAGCTCTTCTGCTGGTATAGCCTGCAGGACATCAGGCTCTGGACAAGGGACAAAGGGAGGGCAGAGGCCGACTGCACTCTGCCCAGCTGCCAGCTCTTCCGCTGGGGGGCTTGGGACATAGTCTGGCTCAGTAGCCAGGGGAACGTGGGGGTCAGTGGGGGTTAACCCTGGGGCCAAGTTAGGAGTTAGCTGGGGAGGGGAATTCGTACTTACCCCCTCCTCCTGTTGTCCCTGTGAGGGTAGTTGGGGATCTGGACAGGGTGTCCAGCATCCCTGTAGGTCGGGCACAGAGACCACGGTCCCCTCTGCGCCATCTGGGAGATTGGTGTCTCCCCTTGGTAGGGTAAGCTGCCGCTGGGGAGATAGGGTGCTGTGCTCCTCTCCCTGAAACACAGGCTGCCGCTGGAGAGGGAGACCGCCTGTCTCCACTCCCATAACATTGTCCTGCGGCTGGAGAGAGAGACCAACTGTCTCTGCTCCCTGTAGGACACACTGCTGCTGGGGGGGAAGGACGACACCTTCGGCCCCCTGTAATTCGCACTGCCGCTGGGGAGAGAGACCAACTGTCCCTGCTCCCTGTAGGACACACTGCTGCTGGGGGGGAAGGACGACACCTTCGGCCCCCTGGAATTCGCACTGCCACTGTGGAGGAAGGACGACACCTTCGGCTCCCTGTAACTTGCACTGCCGCTGGGGAGGAAGGACGACACCTTCGGCTCCCTGTAACTTGCACAGCCGCTGGAGACTAGGTGTCCATATCCTCAACCTCCACAGTTGTCGCTCAAAGGCCATTGCCGCACTGTTCTCAGCACTCAACTGGCACATTACTTGGTGGACCACCTCGTTCGAAAGGTCTGGGCCATAGCAGACCAACCGCCTCTTTACCTCCTCAATGTAAGCGTTGTCCTCGTAGCGATGTATCATATTGAGGTGCTCTTCGCAGGGCTCTATCCATCCCTGCTCCATGCTGCTGTAGTTAGGGACACTGCACAGTGGCTAGCGTTGCCCTCAATAACCTCTCATACGATACCAGTGTCTCCGAGCTGCTTCTCCTCGCACTAGGACTCCATCCCACCGCTGCCACCAATGTAACGGAGCTCCCTGTACTCCGACCGAGTACCCTCCGTTGACGGATGCTCCTAGAGCTTCCTGAGGACACCAAGCGCTGCAGCAGACACCGCAACCACCGCAGACTCCGCAACCGCCGTATCTTGACTGGAGTCTCGTCGTCTTCCTTCCACCCTGGATCAGCTTCTGTCCTCCAGGACTGTGTGGGAAAGAACCCTTCCTTCCACCCTGTATGAACCTCCAGCATCCAGGACTATGTGGTGAAGATCCCTCCTCCAAGGAGAGCGTGTCAGGAACAAGCTCTTAAAAGAGCTAAGTGACTCAAGCTCAGGGGAGCATGCAGAGCATAGCAATCCCCAGTGTGATTATAACAGCTCCCTCCAATAGCGAGACAAGGCTACGTTTAGAGGGATCAAGAAGAACTGTCAAAACCTTTATTTCCCTTGGGACCAGCCAATAGAGTCACCACAATAACATTGTTGTGAAACCTCAATAAAATCACAAACAGTCAAACCATATCAAGCAACACACAGTGACTTATCACAACACAATGGCACATTTTTAGAGGGGTGGGGGGAGACAATATTTAACAGTAAATATCTCACCTGCCTGCAGAATTAGCAATATGCAAATCTACCCGAATATGCAAATGAACCAGTCTTGCAATTCAAGTAGTGCATATTGCTGTTGCTACCAACAGAGGGCACTAGACAAGCTCCATAGCCAAACCCACCTAGTTGGTAGCAAACCTCAGCAATACAAGAGAGGAGGCAATACATTACACAGTGAGAGAGAGAATAAGAGATAAGGGCTGCGCCAATACACAAATGAAAATTGCAAATAGTCCAAATAAATAGCTGTAGTAAAATAAGAAAAGTCTTATCTAGAGTATGTTCTTTGGAGTTATGGGATCTATCCGTGCTTGATCCGGAGCAATTGTCCTTTATATATTCATCCGTGAGAATCCACTCGTATATGGAAGATAAAATGGTGGAGAGCCTATAGTGTAAAATGTTAAAACACTAAAAAATGAATAAGAAGGGAAAAATAAAACTCACATTTGAAAGAGCTAAACTTGCTCTAGTATAGAAGGCGTACAGCGATTTGATCCCCGCTTATGGGATATAGGGTAGACTTCCTCCGTCAGTGGTGTATCAGACACTCAGGTAAAAAGAAACAACCAATAGTGTACACTGCATACAATGTTGGTAATAAAATAAATGAAAATAAAATGGGTACTCACAAGGCGGGAGCAGAATAACTGCTCCTTGACGTAGCGCTGGTGGTATGATCCCCACCTAGGATTTCTTGGAGTCCGAGATGTTGAGAAAATGCCAGGTAGTAAATAAATTAGAGTGTATAAAAAGGATAAGTGGCACAGATTAAAAAGTAACCAAATATACTTTAATATATATAAAATACACAATTAAAAGTCCATAAACGCGTTTCGCCACAAATGGCGTTATCAATATGGGGTAAGAACCTGAAACCTGGCATAACATAGTTTATATAACAACTGTAATTCTATAAAATTGGCGCCAAAAGTGAGCAGCCAATCAACAAGGAGTAAAAACATAAGTTGATAAAACAGTTTAAAAGTAGAGAGATCAACACTCTTATACAATCATATGTTAATTATAAGTATTATGGTATTAGTACATGTGTAAAACGAAAAGTATAACTCTATATTTGTAAATTAATGTGTGCGGTCATGTGACCGGCACCATGCCGCTGGGGAGTATGGGAATAGTAGTGTAGGCGCCGGCGCGCACTGCGCAGCCGCCGGCGTCTATGTAAACAGTAGGACGTCAGCTCGCACACTAATTGCGGCTGACGTCAATAGGAGGGGTGGAGCGACGGCGGCTCGCACGGGAATGCGGCCGTCGTCCAGGAAACCAGGAGTAATAGTGTAGACTCCTGGTTTCCTGGACGCCGGCGTCTACACTATTACTCCTGGTTTCCTGGACGACGGCCGCATTCCCGTGCGAGCCGCCGTCGCTCCACCCCTCCTATTGACGTCAGCCGCAATTAGTGTGCGAGCTGACGTCCTACTGTTTACATAGACGCCGGCGGCTGCGCAGTGCGCGCCAGCGCCTACACTACTATTCCCATACTCCCCAGCGGCATGGTGCCGGTCACATGACCGCACACATTAATTTACAAATATAGAGTTATACTTTTCGTTTTACACATGTACTAATACCATAATACTTATAATTAACATATGATTGTATAAGAATGTTGATCTCTCTACTTTTAAACTGTTTTATCAACTTATGTTTTTACTCCTTGTTGATTGGCTGCTCACTTTTGGCGCCAATTTTATAGAATTACAGTTGTTATATAAACTATGTTATGCCAGGTTTCGGGTTCTTACCCCATATTGATAACGCCATTTGTGGCGAAACGCGTTTATGGACTTTTAATTGTGTATTTTATATATATTAAAGTATATTTGGTTACTTTTTAATCTGTGCCACTTATCCTTTTTATACACTCTAATTTATTTACTACCTGGCATTTTCTCAACATCTCGGACTCCAAGAAATCCTAGGTGGGGATCATACCACCAGCGCTACGTCAAGGAGCAGTTGTTCTGCTCCCGCCTTGTGAGTACCCATTTTATTTTCATTTATTTTATTACCAACATTGTATCCAGTGTACACTATTGGTTGTTTCTTTTTACCTGAGTGTCTGATACACCACTGACGGAGGAAGTCTACCCTATATCCCATAAGCGGGGATCAAATCGCTGTACGCCTTCTATACTAGAGCAAGTTTAGCTCTTTCAAATGTGAGTTTTATTTTTCCCTTCTTATTCATTTTTTAGTGTTTTAACATTTTACACTATTGGCTCTCCACCATTTTATCTTCCATATACGAGTGGATTCTCACGGATGAATATATAAAGGACAATTGCTCCGGATCAAGCACGGATAGATCCCATAACTCCAAAGAACATACTCTAGATAAGACTTTTTCTTATTTTACTACAGCTATTTATTTGGACTATTTGCAATTTTCATTTGTGTATTGGCGCAGCCCTTATCTCTTATTCTCTCTCTTTCTGTGTTATTTTAAGGGTTCTTGAGGGATTCCCTTATATGGTTGCTGCCCTCATATTAGCTAGCGCTTACTCTTTGTTCTGTTTTAATACATTACACAGTACACACACACACACACTATAAACAATTACATTACACACACCCTGCACCTATAATGGGTACAGGGTGACTAAAACATAAGATAAATAAAGCAGCCTACACAAACAGTCTGTCTGAAGGTAGACTAGGGGCTTTAAAGCCAGATACATGAAAGAGTCATAGTCACAGGGGAGGAGGCTGGCAAGTAGGCCTCTCCAGGACCAAGTGGCGAAGGGCACTTCGTCACACCAGGGACTGGGTCAGAGACAGGAAGCCGTCCACAGTCGAGGAAGCGGCTAAGCTAGCAGACGAGCATCATGAAGGAAGAAAAGGAGAAGAGGGTGGGAACCGTCCTCTGGTAAGGTACAGCACCCCAACTCCAGGTCCTGTAGCCAACCCCAGACCTAACCCGGTACCACCCATGACACAGCCTAATTTTAATAGAAGAGCCCCTGTAGTATGTCACCAGTGCAATTAGCCAGGGCACTACACAATGCATTGCCCTCAGCGAAGCAGAGGCAACTGGGAGCGGTCCCCACCACAACCAAGGGCCGCCACTCACCACTACCAGCATGAACCAATGGAAGAACACAGCCTAGATGCAGAGCAGTGGGCCGTACTACACGAGGTGAACCTAGCCCAAGCCGAGGGAGACAACCCGGTGCACCACAGACAATGGGTCACCATAGACGGAAAAGAGGCAGAGGCGCTACGAGACTCTGGGGCTACCCTTACCTTGGTACAACCTCACACGGTGTCTGCAAAGGCGCGCACCCATAAGACTGTAGCCGTAAGGGTGGCAGGGGGCGCCATCCACAAGTTACCCACAGCCTGGGTACAGTTAAACTGGGGCACCGGAGCAAAGCAGATGGAGGTGGGCATCATGTCGGGACTACCTGCGGAAGTTTTGTTGGGGAACGATTTGGGGTGCCTAACTTCACAGCTGACTCATCCCGATCCCGCTGGAACCTACCCCGTGACGACAAGGGCACAAGCCCGCCGGGCTGGACCGACACACTCCGAGGAACCACAGGTAGGAAACCCCCATAACCACGGAAACCCCATAACCTGCCCTACCCCTATTCCCTTCTGGGGCGCTCCCTAAGATTTTGGCCAAGCCCAGCAGTCACACCCCACCTTAGCAGGGTACAGGAAGGCAGTAGGGATCTCTAAGGAAGGTAATGGCCACAAGAACTTCCACTGGGACATGGGACTGCTATATAGGGTCACAGGGGAGTGGGGCAGGGGGCAGCCCAAGTTATAAAAAGGCAGTTAGTCGTGCCCCGTAAATACCGGGCGGAGCTGCTAAAG